TTTTGCTGTCACCTATAGATTATAGGGTCAATAATGTATCCGGGGGGCCTGGATCCACAGAACGGCATCATATGGCATCCACAGGAGAGACATCATGCTTTTTGGCCAATCTTTTTTGGTCAGGGTATTAAGTCACAGAGGTTCTCTGACACAGCTCCTTCTCGGTCAAAACAGCTTCCATGAGGAGGGACATGTTCAACTTAAAACATTATGAGATTTTTTTGCTTTTTTTTTTTTTTTTGGTAACTCTATTGTGCAGTTCTCCAGTGTGTACTTTTTAGACAACAATGTCACGTAAAATTAACATACTTATACTCTCACCATGTGTACACATGCGTGGCTTCACTTCTATGGCTGTCTGCGGCTTCCAGTGTGTTATATTTCAAGTGACGTCACACGTGCTCATGGTGACTTGGCAAGTGAAATGCAGCCATTATCTATAATCTTTCAACATACTATTGCAAACAATTTTATGCATTTCGACACGTTGGACAAACACAGTACTGTGGAGAGAGAAAGTATGCAGCCTTGCTTTTCGATTCAATACAAGAATCTGAAGATTTCTGGGAAAATAAGCACTATTTTGGTATATTTGTGACTCCATTTTCAGTCGACATATATATGTTAGCTCCCAATCTTCCTATGGAATGTATAGAGCTGCAATCTAACATTCAACTTAAAAATGTGAGCATTGACTTGTACAGGTCTTATCGTCCCAGAGTCAAGCATCCCTTGCTTTGCAATCACGCCTTATTCATGTCTTCGCTTTTTGGAAGCACCTACATTTGTGAGCAACTATTTTCAAGAATGAAGCACACCGAGAGTAACATTAGAACCAGAATATTGGATGAGCACCTCGCGAACTCACTGAGAATTGCCACTGCTTCCATCAAACCAGAAAATGATCCATTAGTTTCTCAAATACAATGTCAAATATCCCACTGGTTTTATGTTGCATTTTTCATTTACTTTTATAATACATATTTAAAAATGACATTTTATTACTTGATAGGTTCATTTTGTCTATTAGTGATCACTTTGCACTTGCCCGAATATTTTAGAAGATGCTCCAAACGGAGCACCACATAATAAGCATTATGTGAGGACTGCTTTGCTTATTTGAGTTGGCACATACCATGCAAATCCTGCCAGGAACTTCCCTCACAGGGCCTCCTCTCCCGAGTG